CCTGCATCTTCTGTGTTTATAGTACATTCCCCCGACATCGCAACCGCCGCATGTGTGCTCAACTTCTTTTTAAAAATTGATTTCTTCTTTGTGATCACAGCTGTCACAACCAAACTAAGCTAAAATAAAGCAGCTGTAAAAATGATTTAGTGGCTATAAACAAGGATAATTCTCTTCATATCTACCAGATACTAAGATTTCTTTGCAAGTACATCTATTTATTAAGAGATGTTTCTTATCAGTATGAGTGTCCCGCTACTCCTCCAAGTATACAGAATACAGCTGGTCTTAAATCCACATAACACGCTCGAGTTGATGGACTTATTTATATAAATTGTCTTTTTGTTTTTGTTTTTTAACTCAGTCTCACTAAAATCTCCTGTAATCCCTTGTAATCTCATTTACAAGAGAGAGCAAGAACAAGACATATCCACAAGAAGACAATCAGCAGCAGACAGAACGACAACAACAAAACACAAAGAATCATTAAGAACAATTACAAGAATCGTGAAAACATCATTTAATAGTTTTGAGCTGATGCTGTTTGAACAGGTAACCAAGGTAAGTGCATACAGTGAAAGTCAACATTAGTCCTTTATAAATGAATATGATGAGATGACCTTTTATCCTTGACTTTAAGTAACTCCATCTAACCTTTTCATATGGAGAAAAATGATGAGTGCAGTGTGATACACAGAGACTGCTGTTTTGTTTGTTTGGGCAGAGAGACAATACAGAATATTTTATAGCCAATGACAAACATGAATATTGGATACCACGGAGGTTTATGGTCGGAGGAACCAGAGCTGGAGGACCGGAGGACATGCGATGCCTTCTACCGGCGCTGCCAGGATAAAATGTCACTGGACTGCACATAGAAAATCTAAAACTCATTTAGATAGGAAGTCAAAACACAAGAAAAACACACCTATATCTATAAATACTTGTCAGTATACAGGGAGTGCAGAATTATTAGGCAAATGAGTATTTTGTCCACATCATCCTCTTCATGCATGTTGTCTTACTCCAAGCTGTATAGGCTCGAAAGCCTACTACCAATTAAGCATATTAGGTGATGTGCATCTCTGTAATGAGAAGGGATGTGGTCTAATGACATCAACACCCTATATCAGGTGTGCATAATTATTAGGCAACGTCCTTTCCTTTGGCAAAAATAGTGAGATATCTTGCAGAGGGATGCAGCAGTCTCAAAATTGCAAATCTTCTGAAGCGTGATCATCGAACAATCAAGCGTTTCATTCAAAATAGTCAACAGGGTCGCAAGAAGCGTGTGGAAAAACCAAGGTGCAAAATAACTGCCCATGAACTGAGAAAAGTCAAGCGTGCAGCTGCCAAGATGCCACTTGCCACCAGTTTGGCCATATTTCAGAGCTGCAACATCACTGGAGTGCCCAAAAGCACAAGGTGTGCAATACTCAGAGACATGGCCAAGGTAAGAAAGGCTGAAAGACGACCACCACTGAACAAGACACACAAGCTGAAACGTCAAGACTGGGCCAAGAAATATCTCAAGACTGGTTTTTCTAAGGTTTTATGGACTGATGAAATGAGAGTGAGTCTTGATGGGCCAGATGGATGGGCCCGTGGCTGGATTGGTAAAGGGCAGAGAGCTCCAGTCCGACTCAGACGCCAGCAAGGTGGAGGTGGAGTACTGGTTTGGGCTGGTATCATCAAAGATGAGCTTGTGGGGCCTTTTCGGGTTGAGGATGGAGTCAAGCTCAACTCCCAGTCCTACTGCCAGTTTCTGGAAGACACCTTCTTCAAGCAGTGGTACAGGAAGAAGTCTGCATCCTTCAAGAAAAACATGATTTTCATGCAGGACAATGCTCCATCACACGCGTCCAAGTACTCCACAGCGTGGCTGGCAAGAAAGGGTATAAAAGAAGAAAAACTAATGACATGGCCTCCTTGTTCACCTGATCTGAACCCCATTGAGAACCTGTGGTCCATCATCAAATGTGAGATTTACAAGGAGGGAAAACAGTACACCTCTCTGAACAGTGTCTGGGAGGCTGTGGTTGCTGCTGCACGCAATGTTGATGGTGAACAGATCAAAACACTGACAGAATCCATGGATGGCAGGCTTTTGAGTGTCCTTGCAAAGAAAGGTGGCTATATTGGTCGCTGATTTGTTTTTGTTTTGTTTTTGAATGTCAGAAATGTTTATTTGTGAATGTGGAGATGTTATATTGGTTTCACTGGTAAAAATAAATAATTGAAATGGGTATATATTTGTTTTTTGTTAAGTTGCCTAATAATTATGCACAGTAATAGTCACCTGCACACACAGATATCCCCCTAAAATAGCTAAAACTAAAAACAAACTAAAAACTACTTCCAAAAACATTCAGCTTTGATATTAATGAGTTTTTTGGGTTCATTGAGAACATGGTTGTTGTTCAATAATAAAATTATTCCTCAAAAATACAACTTGCCTAATAATTCTGCACTCCCTGTAGATGCATACACTTGTACAGCACGAGCACACACTTGTGCATGCCCATAGCAAAGACTGGCTGGTCTCCTTCAGGTGACTGATGCAGCGCTTCAGCAAGCTACAATAAAACGCTCATCAATCACAGAGGCTAATCTCAGGTTCTTGCTGGCACTTTCATTGTGCAGGCCTTTCTGTAAGGCTGCCTTCACATAATGCCCTGCTCTGCTTGCTTTGACAGGCCAACAGCCCTGCAGCTCCCTGCCATGAGAGCCATTCTCAAGTGGCACGCCTTTGAAGTGAAGCACTGGCGGGGCCCAGGCTAATCTGGACATCTGGAGGCCGGGTGGGTGAAGCAGGACAGGGAAAAAGCCCTTGCATATAGATAGTGTGAGTCTGGTTTTGTGGGGGAATGAAAAAAGCCATTTCTTGATTTCTATAGATTGGAAATCCAATAGAATGGAGGCTCTAGTTTTCAAACTTAAAACTGCCCTGACACAGAAAGTTCAGCATAAAGGACCAAATGGCACACAGGTCTTTACGTCAATCTTCAGAACCATAGAGTTCAGGTCTGCAGCATTGATAAGCTGGACACAAGCACATAAACAGTCTTGTTAGAAAACGGCACACTCCAAAAAAGAAAAACCAAAAAGACGGATGCATGCTTTGGAGGGGGCTGAGAGCATTTCATAACTCCTTCAGGCCACCTCTCCAATCTTTCTGTCCTCGATCCCCACCAGCAATTTTTTTTGGGCTTTCCAATCCTACTCACCACTCTTGGCAGATGAAACACAAACAGCCCTATTCAAAAATAAACACAGCAATTTTGTGTGTGTTTACCTTTGATTCTGCGCTCCAAACTGTTCTGTTCCATTTCACGCAGTGAGGAACACCTCGTTTCTTGGCCCACTGTACAGATGAACGGGCAAGATAGCAGGCGCCATTATTCCACACTATCATTTTAATCTTGGCCCGTTTTGCTTTCTGCTCCTTTATAGATGCCTTTTGACCTCGCCAAACTGTGAGGTTCTATTTACAGATGGCACAAAGATACATTTATGAAAATTGAAAAGTGGCAAATAGGGTTCCAGATATGAAAAATAGCTGACATAAAATTCCCTGGGGCCACACTGTCCCCCTTAACTTGACAGCAACAGTTTGCCACACTGAACTTTAAGCTTGTGGAATCAATGTTATTGGAGATTTCAAACCATAAGCATAAAAGATAAAGACTCATTTGTTCCCACACTTGCATACATCAGACTGTAACGCTGGATGCATGCTGTGTCTGACTCTACTTCAGATGCTAATTCCCTATAACTGCAAAGGAACCTCATGGCAACACTGAGAAAAGTGTTCAGGATTAACATGCAAGCAGAAGCTGTGACCAAGGAAAAATGGTACGCAGTCGCTTGTGTTTGTCAGTCTAGCATCCGCAGTTTTCAACATATCGTTTTCAAATTTTGTGTGATGGTAGACATCAATACCAGCTCGAGCTGATTTAATTTGAGTGAAAATCAGATCAAAGTCAAGGTCACACCAAAAGTGAAAATCTATAAAAACGTTTTATTTAAAATTTTTATGGATCCTCTACTTGACCTTGACTGTTATTGTTAGCGCCCAAGGTCAAAGTTCAAGGAACCATAGAGTAACATATTAGATGAAAGGGCACGAAGAGAGCTGCACAACACACCTTTTATTTTTTCAATACAATGCCATGATTTTTGCACACTGTATAAATCTAACTTAAAATGTTAAGTTTTTACAGCTTGAAGGAACCAATTCAGCTCCAATCATATGAGTAAAGATAATAAAATTCACCATGTTAGTATGTAAAGCTTCATAGCTCAAAGGTTAGGAATTAGGAAAAAGCTTTAGTTTCTCTGAATGCTCGTGTACCTTAACCTTGACACCAAATACGGCAAGTTTTATTATTTTCCATTACATCTTTACATCAACTGCTTTTCCTCAGGGATTATATGCACCCCTCACCTCACCTTTAGGGGATGTGCATGATGAATAGCTCAATAGATTTCAACTGGATCGGCCTTTTTTTTCTCCCATGTGTACATTTAAGATGAGTCAATATAGATTATCGACAAGTTGACAGCAGTACAGTAAGATGGACTTCAGCATGCTTGCTCAGAGCAGAGTGTCCCTCATCTAAAAAAAAATGTACCCACTATGTCTGAATAAAGCTGGAGCTGACACTAAAGTGAAGCATGGTGTTTTTTTCTCTTTTTTTGACTCCAAATAAGTCAGCAGCAGCAGCTCGACACTTGACTGCTTTCACAGCCTATCCTTTCATGTTTCCCTTATTTCAAATTCTTTTGTTAAAAAAGGAAACGGTAATAAATCTGAAATTTGAAAATAAGCTGTCACAGAAGAAAAAGCAAGATATCAAATTACCGGGAAGCTGAATGAAAATGCTAATTTTACAAAAGCTACAAACTGCATTGTCCCAGCAAAATGTGTCCATGTAGAAGCAGCACTGCAAGTACAGCACTGACTGATACAAAATGTGCGGTTGGAGGTGATCACTGACCTCTGATGGAAACCTTTGGGTGTTCTTTCTTTGTGCACTCCGGATGGGTCAGGGGGTCCAACGAGGATGGGGTCGGGGTCGTTGGGACAGCAGAGTTCTGCGTGAAAACAGCCGGGAGGAGAAGGAGTAGGAAGAGGCCAGCCATAGACGAGGGGGCGGAGTCCTGTGAGGACGCAGTCATGGTGATGACCTCTCCTCTAGCTGTCAAGCTGGGCCTCCGGGATACAGCTGGAGAAGAGAAGAAATTACTTCAGCACCTCAATGCAACATTTCTACACCTGGCTTCAAAGAAACGAAGCTCTCTCTGAGTCACTTCAAAATCTTTTTTTTCCTCGCAGACTTTCTATTCCTGAGGGCGTTCCTGAATGAAGCACAGGAAAACCGAAAGAGACTGAAAAAAACAGTGCAAAGGAAAAACATTTTGATAGAAAGGACATCATTGTGGGCTGAAAAAAAAAAGAACCAGACAAATAGAGGGTGGCTGGAAAGATGAGCTAGAAAGCTGAGTGAAATGCAGGAAATAAATGAATAGAGTTAGAGGTTAGAAAGACTCAGAGCGGGGAAAATCTAGCTTCTTAAAGAGGTACCCCTGACCCTTGAGATAATTATTTAAAATGTGCAATTAAACCTCTAAAGTTCATTTGATGGCTGATTAAAACAGGAAAATTGAACCCAATTGTGGACTGTTCAATGAGGCACAAGGTTCCAGCAGTTAGCGAAGCAGTAACGAGTTCATTTAAAATCTGCGACTTTCAGATGCTTCAGTGCTGGATTATTTTAAAAAAGAAAGAAAATGTTTGCACAACTTTGATCCTTGCATACACCTGACATCCTGGCATGTTTACTGCACATGTGATGCATTTCAGCGCATTACTCTCGCTTCTTCTGAATTACGTCTTATGCAAACAGACTTTGGCAGACTTACACGCGGATGTTTCCAAATGCACACACACAGAGACACTCCTGCTTCCCCAGTAAATGTAATCTCTTCCAGTTATAACATATGAGTCTACAGTGCGGCGCTGAAACCAGCAGTTCATCATCTCCCAACCCCGCACTCCTTACGATGTTAGCTTAGCGGAGTGTAATGTTATTAAAGTAGATTAAAAACTGAGAGCATCAACTTTCTGCAGCACTTTGGCTTGGTTTCATATCTCTGTAGTGTTTTCCTCACTAATGCTTCAATCAATAACAAATTATTAGCTTGGTTGAGTTGCAAATCAACCATATTGCCCTGCAATCAATTATCCCTCTCACTACAGCCGGTAACTAATTAGGCAAATGCAAATAGAGCCCGTGTTTGTCATTACAATACAGTGGAGTCAACTGCCAACTAAAATAATGCTGATGAAACAGGTGGAAACATTCAGTGCAGTCTGCAGCAGACTAGATTCAGTGAAGCTGGATATGTTTCAAGCTTTAGGGCTGCTTGTTTCGACTACACCACGAAGCAAAAGGGGAAAAAAAGAACCTTTTGATCATTTGTCTATATTTTATTTTATGATTTTATAATGTTTGTCCTCCAGTCTGAAACATAAAAACAATCATGACTCAAAAAAATGACCGAATCCTCTTTAAGGGGTGCATGCGGGCCACTCGAGCTGGCAGCTGTCGGGGTTTTTGTTTCGTTGAGAGGAAGCATGAATATTTGAGTGCGTCATCAAGTTGAGACTCTTGAAAATGCATCAAGCCATTGTCACGTCTGCACGCTCTACCTCTTGTACTTTGTTCTTTCCTCTTATCAGACTTTACCTGTCATTGTTCTCTACTCTGAGACCTTCAGCATTTTGTTTCACTTGGTTTTGCATCTTCTTTTTCTTCCTTAACTTTCAGCTATTATTGTTGTGCATTTAAGGAATATAACATCTTCCATTTGCAGGCTATGATGCTTCCTAAACCTCCATTTCACCTCAGAAATATAGCAAAAGCAAACCTTTACTGTTATTCAGTCATCTGAAACTTTTAGTACACACTTCAATTTTCCCCCACCTTGGTTATTGTAACTCACTTTTTATGTGCATCTCTCTGTCCTCCAGTTAGTGCAGGACGCAGCACAAAGCCGCTAACAAAAACTAGCCAGCGTTCACATATCACACCTATTCTTGCATCCCTTCACTGGATTCCAGTGATATAGTATTAACAGACCTATAAAGCTCTACATGGAAAACACATTTTTATAGATTAGCTTACCCTTAATCTTTCCCCCTTTATTTTGAGACATCGTTTGCGTGCGTGGAGGTGTGTATGTTGGAAAGAATGTGTCATAAGGCTGATTATGTGTCTGTTTATGTTTAAATGTTTAAAATTATCCTTAACATGTTGCAAAATCACACTAGTCCTCTGCAATCAAGCAAAAAATCACTGTTCCTGGCATCAGTATCAGTTTCTGATTAGACAAAAAACCACTTCTATGTTAGCAAATAGTGATTTTGCCACTTCATTTTGATTTAAATAAGGATAATGAGGTCTGTGCATCTGGTAGTGTCATGCAAATATAGTCTATGAAAAATATGACATTTCAGTTTTTATGTTTTTTTAATAGCATTTCCTTCCTTTTCACCTTGTGCAATAAACCCAAAACCCTAATGCTTTTTTTGCCTTATATAAAGTAAATAGCGCTGACGCCCTGATTTAATCAAACTTATGTAGTGCAACTTCAGGAGGTTAAAGCTGAAAAATGTGGCCATATTTTTAGCCTCTTCCTATAGGACGTCTGTTAGTTGCATAACTTGCATGAGTACTTTGGATCAGCGAGTGCCAAGTTGTCTTTCTAAATTCTCTGCATAACTCGTTTGATTCCTCCTTTCAAAAGTTGCATTTATCACTGAGACAAAGCCCAATGTTGTGCATGCAAGCAGAGATATGACAAAGACAACCGTATAAATGGTCAAGAGAAGTATTTCTTCCGACAGATTCGCCTTTCACGTCTCTCTCTTTTGGCATTTTCACTTTAACTAGATACCTCACAGCAGAGTGAGACATGACACACACAGAGAGCAGGACAGAGACAGTGCAGGATGACACCCACTTAAGGTTCCAAGGTAAAATCAAACCAATAATATTTTATTCAAGGGTATGAGTTTTATTCTTTAGAACATGTCATTTTTTTAATTTCTATTATCTGCAGGAGCAGCTTTGGCAGGTGCTTAATTCATACTAAATCACTGAGTCCTGAAAGTCAAAGAATGACTCTACAAATCCTCTCATTAGTTAAAAAGCCGGGCTGAGAGCAGGCAGGCCAGGAGATCATGACAGATGACCGGGACTCTGCTGTAAGCTTGAAATTGTGGTGGCCGAGCTATCTTGGCACGGAGGCGCACGGGGGAGGAACTGTCAGCAGCAGAACGAGGCTGGTGTGTGGCTGTCAAATATTTCTGAGGAAAGGCATGTCATACACTCAAGCAAACCCAGATGCACTCAAATCTCAGCACCGAAAACAGGCAGAATCCAGACATGGACAGCTGGTCACACTCCATATTGGGTCACAGTGTGCGGGCAGAGCTGATGCATGCTGTGTGCCAACATCAACTCCTCAGTGTGTCCGTGCACACTTGTAAACCAATGTGCGCGTGTGTGTTTATGTGAAGCGAGAATCTTTAAGTCGGCTCCAAAGTGGCCCGATAGTGCCCATCCAATTTCCCATCCTGCTGTGTTTGGGATTAGCAACAGTTTGTCGGCAAGGAACCAGGACAATCAATACCACAGAGGAAGCTGTCCATAGGAGGACACATGCGTGCACACACACACACACACACACACACACAGACATGCTTTTAAAAAGACTCTGTGAGCCACCGTTCGCCTGTCAGTTGATCATTCAGTCTGATACAATGAGTTAATCAGAGGTACACTATTTGGACCTAGAGGATACTGTGCGGATTGGACTAATAAATGTCCAAGCACGTCTCTTTGTCACTAATTTAAGGTGAAGAGAGACTCTTACTGCATCGATGCTGGGAAAATGGTGTCTGGAGAGTACGTTTTTGGTTCTTTTTAAAAAGTAAAACTACTACAACAAGCAGACAGCTTTTTTAAAAAGAAAAAGCGGATGGAAGGAAAATCCACTGGTGGAGGTTTTGTTGTCTCCAGAACTGAGAGAAATAAAAGACCATGAACTTTCAGACACTGTGATCTTAGATTTCTGTACTTTCACTGCTCTTATGAAATATTCCTCACTTGTTTTAAAGGCCAGCTGACATTAAATTACATTCTTAATAACATGTTCTCCTTTTTACTTTGAGCGGGTATGCAAGTACCTTAACTTGGAATACTTACAATGTCCCGATTTGGCTTGACAACGTGTTTCATTGGTATGCTATGAACATCCTTTGTCTAAGTATGCTGAACATGGATCCTTTGCACTTGTCCAAAACATTTCAGCCTTGGCTCTCTAACTTTGTCTCCAAACCACTCAGCCTGAGCTGTCCCTCTGATATGCTCATTTCTATTCTTGTGCATCCTCGCAACAAAAACCTGCAATTCTACCACCTTTGAACAATGATACACAACCAACCCCTGGGGGTCAGGACCCCGAATGTCAAATAAAATATGTAGATGATCAAGAGTGAAATTTTCTTACCAGAATGATAAGAGCCTAGGTTAACAACCACCGCCATCGGAGGTCCCGATGGAAACTGTGCTACTGCTGGGCAAAGACAAAGGAAGAGGAGATGGGTCCAGCATGGTCGGGAGCAGCAAGAGAAAAGCAAAGGTAGGAGTGTGGAGGCGTGAGTAAGGGACTGCAGAAGGAAATGACGAAGACCGCAGAGAGGAGGGCATGCAGAGAGGAGGGCATGCAGAGAGTTGGCGTAACAGAAGGGGATGCAAGGGTGAAGGTGAAATGGAGACGGATGATCTGCTGTGGCGACCTAAGATGCTGAACAATGATATACATTAGCTTTTAATCTCACAGTCTCCTTTTTATTCAATAAGGACAATCAAACACACAGCTGGGAAAAGTGAGCTGCTGTTTCCACTTTGAATACTACAGAAGTAAGAGCACTTAAATGTACCTTCAAACAAATTCTAACAAGTTCCTGTCCCCATGGCTTGCATGCTATACTGACCTTGGCTTTTACTGCAACATGCCAGCTGCTGTCAATCAAACACAGCTCCAGCTGATCAAGACATTTTGTAACCTTCGCTTAAAGCATGGACTTACAAACAATACTTTCTTTTTCCATTTTCACATTTCATCTGAAAATGGCAATGTGCGAGACAAAAATGGG